AAAAGACAAAAAATCTCAAAGGTTTTTAAATATATTAAATATTTTTAATTTATTTTTATAATATTTATAATAATTTATTTTTTTTAAAGTATCTAAAAGTACTATAGCTAAACTGTTGAAAAATCAAGGAGAGTTGATATTTGAAATTAGGTAATTATGTTTACAAGTTACTAGATTAGAGAATTATTTGAGGGAATTTAAGAAAAATTAGTGACAAATATGATACTATGAATAAAAAGACTTTTATAGAAGTAAATTTTTATTTCTTTAAATTAATGGGTATCCATAAGCCCTTTGTACTAAATTTAGTACAAATTAAAAAAATCATTATACAATAGTATTACAATGAATTTTATTGATATTTTGCTAAAATATATATTAAATCTCATATTTTATTTATGCAAAAAATCTAACCATATTTATATATAAAATTTTGTATAAATTAAACTTATATAAAAAATTATTTTAGGCATTTTTGCTGTACTTAATTTAGTACAGTAAAATTTTATAAATATTTTTGTAAATTATATAATAATAATTAAAAAAATTTTATTTATAAATTGCTTAAGATCATATCTTTATTTTGATATATTTTTTATAAATTTAAAATATGATTACTAAAGTATTTAATATATACTGCTTTTAAAGCATTACAAGTACAATAGTATCTTGTTCTGGTATTACAATATTTACAATGCAATTGTGGATAAATGGTTTTACCATGTCTTTTCTTTTTTTTTTGAAAAGTTTCCAAATTATGTTGTATTTGAGATGTATTAGAACATGTTTTTACCTCTGAATTTTCAATTATACTAAAATTTGCATTAAGCATTTCATGAGCTAATTCTCTTCTAAAATCAAAATGAGAGATATTATATACATTGTTATGCCATTTTTTATATGTAAGAAAAGCATTAGCTTCTGCAATTCCTAATAAAAAAGAAAATATACGCATTTGCTAACTTGATCCTCGCATAACGTCATGAAATGATGTCATATTATCACGCACCTAATATATAATATAAAAATTTTATATAATAGTAATATATTATATATAAAACATATAATATAAAAAATTAACATACTTGATTATTAATATCCACGGCCCCTTTAGCTTGTGAGTATTCATAAAAGACTTTAGGTCTTGTAAATTTAATAGTTGTTGAGCCAGTATTATTTTTAACTACACATTCAACCTCATCAGCTTTTGCTGTTGTAGATGCTGTTGCAATTATACATTGAGGTTTTCGATCTCGTAAAGAAGCTGCTATTAATTGTATATCATCAATTGTTATAACTTTTGATATACAAGATCCGTAAGTACTATCAAGTTTTTCAACCATATCTTGTAGATAATTGATTGGCCATCCACGCCTTTTTTTTTACATGAAAAATACTGTACAATCCATTTTGCATTAATGCAATACAAAGTTTAGGTGAACCGAACCAACTATCACCAATTACTGTACGACCACTACTAAACCATGGTTGTGTTAATCACAATACATATGCCGTGGAACTACCATAATTAGAAACAAATCGCTTATTTTTTTCAATTTCCTTGTCTTCACAAGGTTCTAATTGAATAATGATATTTGTTAAACCATCGGCAAGAGTTTTCCATTCTTGTCCTACAGGGTGTGGTTTTCGTGGAATTTTGCGATGGCCTGAAATTTTATTTTCAGTGCCTAACCATGAGTTCATTGACTCATCAACGCATAACATACTTCCGGGAATTACAGCCTCATCTAAGTTTGTATTAAAAGCATTAATAAAACTACGAACTGAAAATAATAGATCACTACTATCAGATATTTCTAATTCATTTGGCATCATTAATGTATGATGCGATACTATTTGTTCAAATCGTAGAATACTCATCCAACGCTGAAAATTAAATGGTAATAAAGGATGTGTATCTTGAGTTTTCCAATAAAAATGACGATCGCTCATAGGAATTATAGACATTAACACCCAAAGCCCTAACCAGGTCATGTACTCATTGATATTCATATCAACCCAATTCAAATTTTTTCTTCCACATAAATTTATAGATTTAATAATGTTTTGTTCAATATAATTCATTGGAAGATATCAACAAAATATAGTATAAGGTGAGGCTAAATTAATAGATACAATGTTAATTTTACATGCATGGCTATATGTTGGATGAATTGCACGTTGATCAATTTTTACTGATTGTTCTCGCCATTTCACTGTTGTAGTTAGGTCAACTTCACTAATGTCACTAACATCACCAGCATTATCTTCCTCCTCTAAGCTATTTTTACTATATTCAGGAAGATTTTGTTGAGTGGTCGAAGTTTCTGTAACTTCATTATTTGAAGGGACTTGTTTTTCATAACGTAAATTTCCTCTACGAATATTTACAACCAAATTTCCATCTCCAACTTCGTAAACTTTACTTGAAATGTACGAGGTACTTCAGTAGATTCTCCCATAACCCAACCATAAAGGCGTAAGTTTTTTAAACTTTCATCACTTTGTTGTATATATTGCGAAATAATATCCTTTGGTAATACTGTTGCTTTACAACTAACCCGTTCTCCAATAACTATTTTACTTGAAATTCGTGGCATTGTTTAGATATATGTAAAAATAGTAAATGAATATACTTTTAAAATTTATATTTTTATAAAAAAAATTTTGAGATACGCAAAAGAATTGTATAATTAGTACTTTCGCGATTTCTTACATTAAAATTGCAAAATTGACAATAAAAGTCTCAGGATCAAGTAATTATGTAATACAGTATTTAAATTGTAAATTCATTAAATCGCTATTCAAAATAAAACGCACTATTCTCATGCTATATAAAAATAATGTAAAACACTTTAGTTTTATGAAATCGTTAAAAAAATCAGGTTGGTAACAAAACAAATAATATACCTTTTATATAGATTCTATAAAATCGTTCATAAAACTTTACACCTCTTCAACCATAACTAGAAATATATTTTGGGCGTAATATAATATCATTCAACTGGTTATCAACCTATTCGAGTTATATAATGAGTTATATAATACCAGTAAGTATAAAGAAGCTTTAGTTTTATCGTTTAGACCAATACAAAATCAAATAAAGTAAAATATAAAGAAAAAAAAAAATAAGTAAATAATAAAAAAATTTACATTTTTTTTACATTTTATTTTTTTTTTTAATTAAAAAAAAATTTTGAATCGTTATTTAATATAAAAAAATAGTAGATAGCTTTTTAAAATAACTTTTGTGACGAATATAAATTTTTAAATAATCAGGTTTGCATGTATATCAAGATCAAATCTGTATTGCAAATCAATCGCATATATAGCGTTGTATTGTGTGATGCACATTTATAAGAGATGCTCAAATTACGCAAGTAGACTCTATACGTATTACAAATATATTGTATAAATTTTCAGGTGACAGTTGGTTACGCTCATTGTTTAATCATGATTTTAAATCTGTACTAAATTAAGTATTTTGTACTAAATTTAGTACAGCTTATAGATATCCATTAATAATAAAATCTTGATCATCTGGAATTCTTCAATTGGCAGAATTTGATTTGAATACACTATACAAATTGCTCTTTTCTATTTTCTTATTTGTGTATTTAAAAGAAACTTTCTCTTGTACTTGTGCTGCAAGCTTTATTTAGACTTATACTTGTACCAGGTTTGTTTTTCTTGTTTTTTCTGAAGTGCTTGCTTATTTTTTTAGTAAATACTTGAATATTTTAGTTTTTTGTTCAAGCTTTGTTTTTTGTATATTTTTGCTTTTTCTAAATGTCTTTTTTTCCTTGTTATTATTCCAATTATCTCTTTTGTAATAAAGCTGCCTATTACTTGAATCTTTGTCTTCAGAA